ATACTTAATAGTTATATTATTAATAGCTCTACAATCTGTGCACATTCTCCAAGTTCCATCCTTCTTTGGAACCAAAAGAACGGGCACAACATAAGGGCTTAGGCTCTTTTGAACCCATCCCTTCTTCATCAAACTTTCAACTTTGGTCTTTATTTCCTTAGTTTCTTAGGGATTGGTCCTATAGGCAGGCCTATTGGGTAGGCTTGCCCTGGGCACCAAGTCAATTTGATGTTCTATTCCCCTTAAAGAAGGAAGTCCACTTGGAAATTCTTTGGGAAATAGGTCATCAAATTCTTTTAAATTATTTTGGATCCCCTTAGGTAGAGACTCAAGTTCAAAATTTACGTGCATTGTCCAGGTGCTACTTTCAAAATGCCATTTTGGCTGCAATTCATTAGAAAAGTCGGCAAGACATTGTGACTTTATGGGGCCTCTGGGTTCAAACGAGATTTCGAACTCTGCAAGCTCGATGGACCATGCCATCATTCGGCCTGCCAATTCCGGCTTACGCAACACCTTGGCGATTGGACAATCTGTGCGAACGACAACCTGATGCCCCTGGAAATATTGTCGAAGTCGCCGCGCTGTATGGACGAGGCCGAGGGCCACTTTTTCTAACAGCTGATATCTACTTTCGGATTCTTGAAGCGTTCGGCTAATGAAGTAGATAGGTTGCTGGGACTCCCTCTCTTGCACTATCATGGAGCTAATCATCTCGTGCGAGATGCACATGTATACAATCAACTTCAAAAGAGGATCGAGTTTAGATAGAATTGGTGGAGTACCGAGCCGTTGTTTAAGAGTTTGGCCTAATACAGTAAACATAGTGCAGGGCCCATAGGGACCAGGGCCCATAAATGTCAGTATAAATAAGCTCATGTCACGAGGTAACGTCACTGTTCATTAATTACTATCGATATTTGTGTCTTGCAGGTATCACCGAAATCAGGGACACTCTACAGAGGAGTGTGCTGCTCTAAAGGATAAAATTGAAGAGTTGATTAAACAGGGACAACTTCATAATTTTGTGGATCGGTCAGGATCGTCTCAGCCTCGATCTTCATATCAACCCTGACATCAAGATCGGCATAGGTAAGACCATTCCGAAAGACCTCGGTGTGAACGGAGCAGATCACGCGAACGGAAAGACGAGCCTACAGTTTCACATAGGCGTGTCATTAACACAATAGCAGGTGGATTCGCCGGAGGAGGCCGACCTCTTCAGCCCAAAAGAGACATCTGCGCACCATCCGATCGGTCCATGCTGTTGACAGACAACCTCCTCGGAGACTACCAGCTATAACTTTCACCGATGCCGATTTCTAGGGCATTGACCCCATGCAGGATGACCCAATGGTGATTAGTGTCAAGATTCATAATTGCATAGTCAAGAAAACTTTGGTTGATCAAGGTAGTTCGGCAAATATCCTCTACTAGAACACCTTCAAGAAGTTGGGCATCTCCGAGAGGGAACTTTTACCATATGATGAGCCCTTGGTCAGCTTTGCGGGCGAAAGGGTGAGCACTAAAGGGTATATTAAACTCTTTACTCGTTTTTGTTTTGATGAACAGGAGAACAGGGAAATTCAAGTGAAGTTGATAGTGGTGCATGCCAACACGTCCTACAACATTCTACTCGGACGGCCATCGTTAAACATGTTCGGGGCAATCGTCTTGACACCACATTTGGCAATGAAATTCCCATCTGACAAAGGAAGGATCATTACAATCCATGCTGATCAGAAAGCAGCTCGGGAATGTTACTTCGCTAGCCTGCGGATAACTCCCATGGAAGAGGTGCAACCTAAGCCTAAGAGAGTGCACAACATAGCAGCTTCTCCAATAACTCCCGAATCACACTTTTTGGCTTGGGACCTCGATCCAAGAATGAATAATGAAGAACATGTAGAGCCGACAGAGGAAAAGGTTCCGCTATAGATTGGATCGCAGGCACGATAAGTCACCTTCATCGGCGCCAGCCTGTCAAATGATAACCGGAAGGATCTCAGCAGGGTGATTCGGGGAAAACAAAGACTTGTTCGCATGGGTACCCTCAGACATGTCCGGCATTGACCCAGAATTCATGTGCCACAAACTATCAATATGCCGAGAAGCTAAGCCAATTGCTCAACGAAAAAGGAAGATGGGGAATGATAGAAAAAATGCGGTTGAGGAGGAAGTGACAAAGTTACTATAGGCAAACTTCATTCGGGAAATACAGTACACAACATGGCTGGCCAATGTGGTTATGGTTAAAAAACCAAGTGGAAAATGGCGAGTGTGTATTGACTATACCAGCTTGAACAAGGCATGCCCGAAGGACGCATATCCGTTACCCAATATCGATCGATTAGTAGATGGTGTTGCTGGCCACATGATCTTGTCATTTCTGGACGCCTATTCGGGATATAATCAGATCAGGATGCATCCCCAAGACGAAGACAAAACAGCCTTCATAACCGACTCAGCTAATTATTGTTACAGGGTGATGCCATTCGGCTTGAAGAATGCGAGCGCAACCTACCAGCGCCTCATGGACAAGATCTTCAGAAATCAAATCGAACACAATATGGAGGTTTATCTTGACGACATGGTTGTCAAATCAGCAACTGTGGCGGCACATTCGGCCGATCTTAGGGAAGTATTTCATCAACTCCAAAAGCACAACATGCGCTTAAATCCTGAAAAATGCATCTTTGGGATTGCTAGTGGCAAGTTTCTTGGTTACATGCTATCGGCAAGAGGCATCGACGCCAATCTAGATAAATGCCAAGCTATAGTAGACATGAGGAGCCCACAAACACTCAAAGAAGTCCAGCGACTGGCCGGATGACTCACGGCACTATCACGCTTCCTCCCATGTCTTGCCGAAGTAGCTAAACCGATTCTGGGCTTACTGAAGAGCCATTTTGGCTGCAATTCATTAGAAAAGTCGGCAAGACATTGTGACTTTATGGGGCCTCTGGGTTCAAACGAGATTTCGAACTCTGCAAGCTCGATGGACCATGCCATCATTCGGCCTGCCAATTCCGGCTTACGCAACACCTTGGCGATTGGACAATCTGTGCGAACGACAACCTGATGCCCCTGGAAATATTGTCGAAGTCGCCGCGCTGTATGGACGAGGCCGAGGGCCACTTTTTCTAACAGCTGATATCTACTTTCGGATTTTTCTCTTATAGTTTCATTGTTTTTTTCATTTTCTATTCTTTTTTCCTAATATAATTCCTAAGTTCTCCAAGCTCATCTTTAGTGCTTTTATGACTCCTAGGAGAATGATGACCATGCACACGACTTTCATGAGAATGATCACTCATTTTTGCAAGAAAAAGGTTTTCACAAATCTTAAAGAATTTTGCAAAGTGAGTGATAAATATTTTCACAAAAGATTTTCTCTTTTTGGTGCAATACTAAGTACTTGGAGGTCTAAGTATACAAGTTGCACTATCAAGGGAGGTGAGCTACTAGGATCCACTTAATAACCAAGCCTTTTCAAGTGGAAATTACTAAACCCCCTTATACCTTTCTTACAAAACAAATTTTTCACACAAGCAAGTCAAGTAGTTGTGTGTGTGTGCACGCAACCCCTAGTAGGAAAAGGAAGCCTTCTAAACGAACTTAGAAATTAAACAAGTAAAAAGAAACAAGTAAAGCATATACTAGTCGTAGGGTCCTAGGGTGGAAGTCCAAGTGGCACTTGAAGCTTTTTGGGACACTTCCACAAGTTCTAAACGAAGTATGAAAGCTAGTAAAACTAGGCATGTCCTAGTGGAAGCCCAAATGGCACTTAAAGCCTTTGGGGACCCTTCCACAAGTACTAAACGTGTCTAAGAAGCTTTATTTAATACTATTTAGGAAGTGGTGGGACTTAAACAATCTCCCAAACAACCACTCCTAAATGTAGGTTTGTTTTAACAAAGTAAACTAAACAAGTTAACCCAAGGTAGGGTTTAGGAGTTACAACACAATGGAAACAAACTAAATCAAAACTTCTTGAAGAATCTCCACCAAGGGCGGTTAGGGACAAGCTTGGAACAGCCTTGGAGTCAAGATGAAACGTCCCAAATTGGTCTCCACCAAGCCTTCACTAAGTGTTCCAAATCCGTCACCAAGTTCTCCAAATCCGTCTCTAAATAGCTTCCAAAATCCGTCTCTAATGTTGACCTAAAAATTCAAAACAAAGCTTGGCTGCAAAAAGAACAAACAAATGAGCCTTTCCAAGGTGTTTCACTCAGTTTATTTGTACCTCAA